CTCCCTTTTAACAGTTTAGGAGAATTAGATTTTACATTAAAGCCCAAGTCTGTCTCCATATTACATTCTTCAGAATCAATAAAACTTCTAAAATATTTTAATATTAAAATGAAATAAGTAATCAAAATCCACATTTAGATTTTATTTATAAATTTAACAAACAAATTCGATACAAACCCACCCTTTTGAAGGTCCATAAAAATCATCCTTATCAATACTACTGGAAGCTGTTGCTTTATTTTCCATATCGTTTGTAGAACTAAAACATTGAATTATTAATTATTATGGAATATGCTACGAGTATGCATTATATTTGGTTAAATTTAATTTTCGTACAATGAACAACCTATAGACATATATATATTTCATTGAAATTAATATATTTATAGCAATTATAGTGTAGTTTAGAAAAAATAAATAAATGTATTTATAATACTACAAAATTAAACTTTAATTCATGTCAAGCATTAAGTATTATCACATCCCTGTACTACGCCTATGGACAAAATTCCACTGTTTACAATACTTACGAATGAAATGACAGTTCTGGATGTAAATATGAAGTTTTCCTGCATACAACACAGTTACGCATCATTATTACACTTAACTATCAACTATTCTTCACTTCTAATTTAAAATATATTAACAAATTCACTAAAATGTCACAACTAAGGAAATTATCAACTCAAAGGTAAACAGTACAACGCCATATTCTTTTTCGTCAAATCGCTAGGATTGGTTGATATTACCAACGATGCCAAGTTTTACAAGAGTTAAGATTATCAGAATATATTTTCTTTTAATAAATTAAAAAATTAACTTTTTTCTTTTAATTTCTTGGTTGCGAAATGAGTATATCTAAAAATAGTTTATACTAACTAGATAATACATTTTTACTTATAGATTTAAAGTAAATTACACTAAAAATCGAAAATTATTTCGAAGATTGACTCTGAAAAAAAAAAAATAATATGACAACGTCAAATTAGGGATTTGTGCCTATGACTGTGAATATCTCATGACTTCAAGTATAGATGTAAACAGACCGGTCCATCTTTATTTATACGTCCATGTTTCAAACCCATCTGAATGATATACGTCCTAGTATCCAGTTCACGATGGAGGGGGAAACTGATTTATCCCTATCGTTTCTCGACGTTATCATAAAGAAAAACCAATCCCAAGGTTTTCATCACTCTGTTTATCGAAAACCCACCTATCTCAATCGATACTTACATACCAACTCTCATCATCTCCCATCACAAATTAATTCAATTATTAATACGCTCGTCTCTAGATTAATACGCTTTGCGATGATGCAAATAGATCCGCTGAGCTCTCTAGTTTAAAACAAGCTCCCATCAAAAATTGTTACCGCGAAAATCACATCAATAAGAGCATCCACAGACATCAATCTCCCACTCAATCTCAACCCAAGATTCAGACCCTCATCATCTTCTTTGAGTACCGTGCCCAAGTTTTAGGCGTGGGTAGCTTCCATGACGATTTGCCGATATCGTTCTCGATCTTGCGCGGCATGTAATTATTCATCTGCTGATAAGCCAGTCCATTGACGAAGGTTTCGGAGCCATAAGTATTTCTTTCTGCATTTTCTTCTTCCGTCGATCTTTCCATTGAGTATCAACTGCATTATCCTGTATCTGCTTCCTCTATTATATGCCCCAGATATTCGAGTTTTCTCTTTTTTATCATCTTTATTAAGTCAGCTTCACCTTGACCTACTCTGTTCAAGACTTCTCTGTTTGAAATGTGTTGAATCCATGATATTCTGAGCATTCTACGATATAACCACATCTTGAAGGCTTCTAATTTGTTCATCCTATTAACCTTCATAATCCAGGTTTTACATCCATACAGTAATACAGGATACACATAACATTTTAGGAACTTAATTCTCAGCTGTAAGTTAAGCTGAGAATTGCTCAAAATAGATCTAAGTTTCATAAATGCTCCTCTTGCAATTTCTATACGAGTTTTAATTTCTTCATCCGGATTTAGTGTCTCGTTTATCCAACATCCTAGATATTTAAAATGGTTAAATTTTGTTATTGGTTCATTATTGACAATTAGTTGTATAGCGCCGAGGTCTTGTTTACTAACCACAAGTAACTTTGTCTTTGTTGTATTTATGCTTAGTCCGATATTAGAGCATTTTCTAGTGACTCGATCTATAAGGAATTGAAGATCTTCGATACTTTCAGCCATGATTGCGGTGTCATCTGCATATCTGATATTGATAGTTTCTCCCCCCATTCGAACTCCACATTGCCCTTCCAAGGCTTTGTTAAAAATTATTTCTAAGTAAACGTTAAACAAAGTTGTGGACAACACACAACCCTGTTTAACACCTCTTTGAATACAAATTTTGTCTGTTTCTTTGCCGTCTACCAGAATAGAAGCTTCTTGATTCCAATATAGCTGTTGTAAAAGTCTCAGATCTTTATCATCTATTTCAATTATTTCTAGATATTCAAACAGTCTACCATGTTGAACCCTATCAAACGCGTTCTCAAAATATATATAAAACATACGTAAATTGGTTTCTGTACTTCCCATGATCGTTGAAGTAGTGTTAGCATTGAGAACAAAGCTTCCCTTGTTCCCAATCCCTCTCTGAAACCGAATTGTTTATTTCCCATTATGTCTTCACAATTCTGGTTAATTTTATTAAGAAATATCCTAAGAAGTAGCTGAGAGAGTGACTCATGAGGCTAATTAGTCTAAAGTCTTTACATGATGATGTATTAGGATTTTTTTGGAAGTGGGATAAATGTAGACTCCAACCATATTTGTGGCAGTGTTCCAGTTTCGTATATACGAAATCTACGGAAGCTTTTCTTCCTTACATCAAAGGTGTCACTGAAAAAATCGACATAATTAAAAAAAAAGAAGAAATAAAGACAATATTTCCCTCCAACAAAACTTTCCTCTCTTATCCGATCAATCAAAGACAACATTCCAAATGAACAACACGGAGCTTATGAAATTCCTTGTGCAGACTACCCCCAATCCTATATAGGCGACACAAATCGTAGAATCCAAAATATGATTTATGAACATTCCATTTCTGTTCGTAATTCCCACTCAATTTCAGCTCTAGGTCAACACCATCTTCATACAGGTCACAAAATTGATTTTCAAAACTCCAGAACCATAGCCCCCATCCGCTTATATAAACCAAAAATTATCCGAGAAGCCATAGAAATTGAAAAAATATCAAATTGTTAATAAAACAGGTGACGGCATACCTTCGACTTGGTGACCTCCTTAGACCATAAAAGCTGATAGACACGCCTTGTACCGAACCGTTGAAGCAAAGACCTTCCGCGAAAGTGACGTCACAATGCGGCAAGAGCCCGCTTGGATTCTTAGCAAAGCACTACTATAATTACCCAATTTTAGATTAATTTTAATATAACTTCAATATTTTGTAAAAAATATGAAAGATAAATTATTTAGCAAAGTAATTAATAAATATTTTTGCCTTAAATTGTAAAAATAAATGATTTATTTGAAAGTACATACCTACATATATTATTACATAATATATTGTTGGTATATCTCTTCTTGTTTGATATTCAAAAATAAATTTAAAGGAGAGTAATTTTCTTTTGGATGGAAGTTTCAGGTTAGGTAAAAAAATATGTAAGAAATCTATTAATTTATTGACCACAAAACAAAATAGCTTTTGTTAACTTACTTCTAACTCTTATTACATTATTTAGTTTTTCACCTTCGTGGTACAATCTAATGTTGCAATAATATGGAAACAAATTATCTTTATTAGATTAAACAAATGGTTTGTTTTAAAATCATGATCAAACATATGTTTTTTGTATGCGTTAAACACAGAACCATGCACGTTACTCATGACATTTAAGATCAATTGATATGTTCAATGAAATTTTGAGTAGCTTCGATATGTACAAATTCGTGTGAGCTTTTATTTCTCATATAATTTATTGCCTTAGCAACTTTTTGGCTGAACGTTTGGGCAGCTAATTTCACTTTCATTTTTTCCTTATACCAATTTAAATGCCATCGCATTATCCTAGTTGCAAGATAAAGGCCTTCCTTTTCTTGAATGTCTATTAATTTTTGCAAATATCCCCATTTAATCGCCTTATTATTCCATATATTAAACCAATGTAATATACCAAATGTAATAACCATTAAAGTATTGCAAATAAGTTTCAACATATGTGGAGGGTCAAATATTACATATATTGGTTGATTTGTTGCTGGATGTAGAAAATATACTTTATTGGAATTAAACGATAAATCAACTCCAAGTTGTTTAACCATGCTAATATTTGACGCTGCACCATCAAACGTTAAACTACCCTTGTTTATTCTTTCCCTGATTTTATCTGCGCTATTTCCCTTCTTGTTGAAAATGACCCCCAAATATTTGCAGGATGGCACGCCTTTGATTTTGTCGTCTTCCAAGACTAGGTCACATATTTCATTTGTTCCCACTGATAGATATTCAGACTTTGTCATATTCATGTTTAGACCTGCCACCTCATATTCTTCTTGCAGTTTTCTTACCATTAAGCAACTTACAGGATACAAATACTCCCTTAGGCAACTAGCAGTGCGCAACAAAGTAATTTAGCTTTGGGTGCTGAATTGATACCAAAAAATAAAATTATTTATTGTAGAAATTAAAGAATATTTTGAGAAAGTAAATTTAAATATAATTTAAAATTAGTTAGTCAATAAAACATACTTCATTATTGTTGACATTTTCGTAGAACACAACATAAACTTTGGTTTTTTTATATTGCAAAATAAGTATAAATAACTATGGAATCACGATTTAGTAAAGCAAAGAGTAGTAATTTGCCAACCTACAATATACCAAAAATTTTATTGGTTTAGTATACACTTGTGTATATTGCGTTTTTATTTGGTTAACTACTAAATTAACAATAATATAATATGCAGAGAAAGATTTTGAAATGGAGGTGACTTACCTTGACTCTGCAAACAACGCTAAGGCTCTCCCAAGGTCACAATCCATCTTCTCAATCAAATAAGAAACAATAAGAAAGCCAGTTCTATTGAATCCATGTGTACAGTGAACAGCAATACTTTCTAATGGGTGATAACTTATAAAACGTGTAACAATTTCAATAAATGTAGCAGTTTGTTCACGAGATGGAGTCTCTCCATGACCCCTACACTGTAATTTCACATATTTACATCCATATTCCCCAATATCTGCTTTGTTGTAGAATCTAGAAGTGTTGGTTAAATCAATCCATAGTCCAAATTTAATCTGAAATAAAAATATTCGTTTATATGAAATTTACCAATAAATAACAACAGTTTGCACTAATGACAACGCAATAATCCTTTCTATATCATCATCATAAGTGGCTCGACAATCCGTTGTGGCTGACATCCTAGAAATGTGTCCAGCCCATCTAAGTTTCTGCACTTTAACGAATTTCACAATATCTGGATCGGTGTATAACTGATATAGTTCAAAGTTGTATCTTCGACGCCATAGCTCATTTTCATTGACGGCCCCAAAAATCTTTCTAAGAATTTTTCTCTCAAAAATACCAAGAAGTCTTTCATCATTTTGAGATAATGTCCACGTTTCAGCCCCATATATCAAAACCGGTCTTATTAAGGTCTTGTATATATTAAGCTTTACTGCATGTTTTATATTTTTATATTTTAAATGTTTCTGTACTATGTATCTTTTTATTTCGTCGCTTGTTGTGTTTGTTGCGTTTGCTGTGTTTTGTTGCGATTCAAGATATGTAAATTCTTTGACTTGCTCAAAGGTATGGTTGTTAATTTGAATGTTGGATATTTCGAGGGTTTTTAGAAACCAACATATATTTGGTTTTTCCTCGTTTACCACAAGTCCTAATTCACTTGCTGCGTCTGCAAGCCTTGTAAAACACTGCACCATGTTTCTCATACTTTTGCCTACTATAACTATATCGTCAGCGAATGCGAGAATTTGCGATCTATTAAAAATAGTTCCATTCATTCTAATATTTAATTGTCTGATTGCCTTTTCCAAGGCAATATTAAAGAGCAGGCACACCAACGCATTCCCCTATCTTAGACCATTATTTATGTCAAAGAACGTAGAGTTTTCTCCTTCAATTCTAATGCATGAGCTTACGTTTTACATTGTTAGTTGGGTCAACTTAACTAACTTAGGTGGGATCCCAAAGTCTATCATTGCATCATATAATGCAGTTCTTTTCACATTGTGATAGGCTGCTTTGAAGTCGAGGAAGAGATGGAGTGTATCTATATTATATTCATGTGACTTTTCTAGAATCTGCCTATGTGCTTGAATTTGATGTGTAGTTGACTTTCCAGCAGTAAATCCGCATTGATATTGACCAACAATATCTTTTGTAAAATGTTTTTAAGTCTTTCAAGTAATGCATTGCCGAAAATTTTATACGCAGATGCTAACAGAGTAATGCCTCTATAGTTCTAACGCTACAGTTGATCACCCTTTTTATGCAACGGACATATTATTCCCTTCAGCGACTCTTCTGGTACCCATTCATTCTGACATATAAGTACAATTAGTTTATGGATTGCTGCAAAAAGTTGATCACCATCTTTTTTATACATTTCCGAACAGATTTCTTCGATTCCTGGGGTTTATTGTCTTTGAGTTTTAGGATCGCATTTGACACTTCTTCTCTTGTTGGGTCTTCACTGTGTAGTTGAGGTTATAGATTTTGTTTTTAGATTTTCTATGTTGTACTCTCCTTCAATATCGTTTATATTTAGATGTTCGCTGAAATGTTGTACCCATGTGTTAAGAACTGAGTTTTTATTATGTAGAATTTCACCGTTAGTCTCTTTACAAATTTTTAATCGTGGTTTAAGTTCTTGACGGCTAGTATTTAAGGATTTGTAGTATTTCCTCGTTTCATTTTTATTTTCTTTATTATTCTGTTATTTTATTCCCTCTTCTTACGTCGATGGATGCGTTTTTCCTCTCTTCTAAGACGTCTATACTCTTATTTTTTCCTCCGTGTACAACCTGCGTCAATGGTTTTTTTATATGCTAAGTTCTTTCTATTTGTGACCATTTCGCACTCATGATCAAAACAATGATTTCTTTTTTCTGACTCCTTTCGATATGTACATTTTTGTTAATGACATTTTCAAAGTTGTCGTCTGTATAACGCGTTGAAAGATATAGTAGAAAATCGTCTAATAAAAGCAAGACAAACTACAATAACAATTATTATTATTAAATTTCCCATTGTTAATTGTTTATAACTTTTGTAAAAATTAACTTACACTCTTATAATTGTTCCCAAAGAGAAGCCTTGTAGTACTTAACAAACATTCAAAATTTCAGCTAGATCCATCGATTAGTTTAAAAGTTATTTAAATTGTTTATCGCAGAGGCCATTATTTTGTAATAACATAATAAATGATCATACTGACTTAGTCCAACGTCGAATAAATAGTAAAAACTCAACCCCATAAGTATTACTGGGTTCATTATCAGCAATAGGAAACTGCTTCGCCGACTAATAAGCAGCCTACCTAAGTTAACAACGAAAGGATTCACAGTGTGTATCGCCCCGTGTGCTCGCCCACTGTAAAGGAATCTTAAGACTGTATTAGTGCCCAGATTGACAATTTGTTGAGGGAGAGATAGCCATCTGCGGAAATCTGGCTGGTACAAAACGTGTCTATTATGTCATAAGACGAACATAGATGTAGGGGTTTGCCTTAACCGGTCGGCCAAGTTGAAGGGAACTACAATAAAAATACCCCAATTTCAAGGCGGAACAGCATAAGCCAAATAATGAACGGTTAGAGAGTATGTAACTACTACTATGGGAACTCTGAGGCAATTTTGGCGCACCTCAGTTTTAATAGCGGGGCTCTGCTGCATCGAACCCTATAATAGAATACTGACTAGGTCTACGAGTAGAGTTGTGGAAATTCTAACACTTTCAGTCGCTAAAACGAGGCATATGATCAATTACAGATATGGTCGTACAGTCCTGGTGTCTATCGACTCAAGAGTGGCAGAAAACAAGCCACGACAAGCGGGTCTCAAGAACCCGCTACGATGTCTAAGGCCACGGATGAGCAAAAAAGTGCTTAAGTTGAATCCAGGAGAACAGGCAAGCAAAGCCCTGTCAAAACCCCCAAACTAACTTACAAAAATAATCCAAAGCCTGAAATGTCCACAGATAAACCTTCAACATTCAAAAACAGCTATCAGTGTGTTTAGAAGAAGGTTTACTAAAGATAACATACCCATAGGTCTCCTACAGGTGCCTTGGATTAATGAAGGACAAATCCAATGACTCAACATAAAATCAGGTAGTACCAATATTGACAATCGAAGAGCAGGACTACTACTCTCACACAATATTAAATGTATTTCTCTTCCAGAATTCACCACGGTAGATTCGGTAACCGCAATCGTAGAAATGCCAACAGAAGTAGGCAACAGATAAATTGTTATTGTCTCTATTTCCCAGGTGACTCTGAAAACCATCCGCCTCCAGAGAAAGTACAAACACTTATTGGATGGTTTAAGAGAAGGAACAGACAATTGATTCTTGGCTGTGATGCAAATACACACCATATACAGGACAGGTAGCACAAGAATAAATAAGAGGGGTAACTCTCTTAGACTATATATCTGCTAACAATTTAGATATTGTAAGACGTGGGTAACAAACCCACATTTATAAATGCAATTAGGAAAGAGGTTCTTGATATAATCCTACATAGTTCGTTTATATCAAATCAAATATACAATTGGCATGTCTCGAATGAAGCCTCAATGTCAGACCATCAACACATAAGGTTCGACTTTTTTTGGTAGGAGGAGGAAATCTTCAAAAGACTGTCAGAGCAGACCGCAGTACCCAAGAAACCTGGCTACTGCGTACATAAGGTTCGACTTATGCGCATCTGAGGAAGGCTTTGAGGAATATTGAGTCCCAAAACACTCCGATTGGGACACTTACAATGACTCCAAAAGGTTCTCTCAAAAGATCACACAAATGAAATCGGACTGATCAAAAGGCCGAATGGCGACTATACTGAGAGTCTAACGGAAACTATTAGAGAGCTATTAAAGATTCATTTTCCTGGCTCCCAACAAATACTAATAATATAAAATATAATATAAGATAATAATAGAAGATGAACCGAAATGGACAGTTAAAGCTTCAAACCTTTTAAATCCCTAAGTAAGGAAAGAATATTTCCTGCTTTACTCCAAAAAGGCTTCATACAAATACAGCAGCAACTACAGTAGCTGTTCATGGCAATTCTTATGTTAGGTCACATTCCAAAAACTTGGGAGGGACGCAAAGGTGGTATTTATACCAAAGACGGGTTAACGTACTATAGAGAAACTAGACTAGGTTACTACATAAGAAGCGAAACTCTAACGAAGAGAACGCTTAACAAACATCAATTTGCCTACCAGACAGGCTCACAAATACAATGGATTCAGCCAATGCTAAAAACCAGAATCATCACTGCTAGTGTTGGAGAAGAACCTGTGACTTCGACACCAGAAAAGGGGTGCCCTCAAGAGGGAGTACTATCGCCCCCGCTGTGGTCTCTGGTCGTAGATCTCTCCTCACTAAGTTGCATGACTCTGGTTTTACACCCAAGGTTCCTCAGGTGACCTAGTTGTTATAATTAGGGGCAAGCATGACTAAACTATATCTAGGCTCATGCAAACTGCTCTTAACGAAATTAAAAGTTGGTGCTCGAAAGATGGCTAACATGTCAATCCCAGCAAAACGACTTTGACAACTTTCACAAGGAGACGTAAAGACAATTTAAAAGCTCCAATTATGAATGACATACCATTAGATTATTCCAAAGAAGTAAAAATCTGTGATTAACACTAGATCAAAAACTTACCTGGAATAGTCATTAAAAAAATCTTATCCAGAGCCTTGGTGGCAAGTTGGACCTGCTGCAAGACATTTCAAAAGACTTAGTGCCTAAAACCGAAAATGACCCTCTGGTCATATAAAGCGATTATTAGGCACATGGTCACATACGCATCACTTGTATACTGGCCAAACACAGAACAAACAACAACTAACGCAGCTTCCCAGACAAGCTAGCTGCTGCAAAAAGTGCACCGGCTAGCTTTTCTGGGAATTACAGAACCTTCCTCTCCTTCCTCTAGAACCTTGCAGTTCTGCAGAAAAAGGGAGGCACTAGCCACCGCCTTAAAACTGTGACAGACACAAATAATGAAACCTAGAGATCTAGTTGGTCACCTAA